GTAGGGAAATCCTCTTTTGGAATGAACCCTGGGAAGGCTGCAGAGGAGGTTTTTGGGGTGGCAGATGCCAACTTGGTGTGTGTCTCGTGGGGATACGCAACAGAAGTCACTGAGGTTACAAGAAGGGGTGGTGGCTTGAAGTGGTGCCAGGGAGAGTGCGTCAGGAGAGTCACACTGGCAGTGAGGTTGGCCAGGCACTGGGACAATTTTCCAGTGGGGAAGTGGTGGAGCAGTTACTGGGAAGGGAATTGCTGGCTGCTGGTGGTACAGTGCTGCGTCCCTGGGGAGGGGAGTATTTATCTACAGGAACATTTGCAGGCCACAGTCAGACTCTTTGTGTGTTAGATGCTGTGCAAAAAGGGTCACAGGAAGTGTTTCTCTGCTGCTGCCCTCGGAGTGTCTCCTCTTTCTTTGCTTTTTGTGGCTCTGGGTGAAGCAGGCAGATTGCTTACTCTGAGGTTGTTCTGAAGTAAACCAGGTTGGACTAACATCAATCTGTCTCCAGCTCTCTAGATAACAAAAATGAGTTCCATGCTGGTCCAGGCCATCAGAAACCTCCCTGTGTCCTCGGCATGGGCTGCCCGGGGCTGTGAGTATCTTTACATTTATTTCAAAACTTTTTTTGTTTAAAAATAACTAATTCCATTGTTGCCATATTTGCTCCTTCCCACTTCAGATGTGGGAGGAATCCACATTGGGGTTAATGGATCATATGAACAGAGTTAACTAAAAAATATCTGCAGGTGCCCAGGTGCAGTTGTCTTACTAGGACACGATCTTATTTTTTTAACAGTTCTCACAGGAACTAGAGATGTTCTGAGCATTTCAGGCTTGACAGACCCTATTTTTTTGTTTGCATTTCAGTTGCTCGGTCGCTCAGCTGCTCTTCACAGTTACAAGCTGCAGGTAAGGTGGAAACACCAGGAATCTCGATGGGACTGTGCTAGACAAGACTATTTTTAAATCTGCCTCCCTTTCCCAGAGTCTCATTCTACTTAAATCTCAGGAATGGGTGCAGAGTGCTCCTCAAAAGCTGCAAACAAGGAAAATCCAGGGAAAACCAGTGATTGCAGTGGAGTCCTCTCAGCCTCTGTGTGTCCTTCGGTCCCAGAGCTCGCACCCTATCATCACCTGATTGATTGCTATTTCTAGAACCCAAACAGAGGGGCTAAGCTCGGGGTTTATAATCTGCCCTGCCATAACCAGATCCCTTGCCCAGAAGGGAAAGGGTTGTTTGTGACAAGGAGGAGCTTGTGGAATTAGCTCTGAATTCCAGTGAAACCAGCAAGGTCTTGGTTATGTGATTATTTTTTTTTTTAGCTGCAGCCTGTGACAAGAGGTCTGGGTGATCTGGTGTTCTGGGATTTGTTGTTTGGGGGGGGTTGCTCAGGTGATTCATGCTCTGAGCGGCCTGGATTTTGGAAAATGTCTGAGGCAGTAGCTCCTTCTCATCTCCTTGGCTTCGCACAGAGCCTTCTGTAACCCAAGAATGGTGTTGAGGTTTAACCTTGGTGCTAATACTTTCTTGAGCACAGACTGAATCTGCTTTTATGTGCCTTTGTCCTTTTCCTGCTTGTACAAGGAGCTACCCCTTGCTGCCCTTCATGCTCTAGAGAGGGATCTGGACAAGCTGGGTCCATGGACTGAGGCCAACTGTATGAGATTTGTGAAGGCTAAGTCCTAGGTCCTGCATTTGGGTCACACCAAGCCCAGGCAATGCTTCAGGATTGGGGAAGAATGGCTGTAAAGTGCCTGGCACAAAAGGACCTGGGGTTATTGGTTAACAGAGCCTGAACATGAGCCACCATGTGCCCGGGTGGGCAAGAAGGCCACCAGCATCCTGGCTTATGTCAGCACTAGTGTGGCCAGCAAGACCAGGGCAGGGTTTGTATGCCTGTACTTGACTCTGTGAGGCCACACTTCAAATCCTGGGTTCAGCTTTGGGCCCTTCATGACAAAGACATTGAGGGGCTGGAGCATGTCCAGAGAAGGGCAGTGGAGCTGGGGAAGGGTCTGGAGCACAAGTGGGATGAGAAGCAGCTGAGGGAACTGGGAGTGTTCAGCCTGGAGAAAAGGAAGCTGAAGGGAGACCTTCTTGCTCTCTACAACTGCCTGAAAGGAGGTTGGAGCCAGGGGGGGCTGTAAGTCTCCAAGGAATAAGCGACAGGACAAGAGGAAACAGCCTCAAGTTGTGCCGGGGGAGGTTTAGATTGGATATTGGGAACAATTTCTTCCTGGCAAGGGTTGTCAGGCCCTGGCCCAGGCTGCCCAGGGCAGTGGTGGAGTCCCCATCCCTGGGGAATGTTAAAGCCATGTAGCTGTGGTGCTGGGGGACATGGTTTAGTGGTGGCCTTGGCAGTGCTGGGTTAATGGTTGGTCTTGATGATCTTAAGGGTCTTTTTCAACTGATCCTAAGTAGGAAGTTCCCCACAGCACCTACACACACTCCTCTTGCTGTTGCTTTCCTTTGGCATTGAGAGTTGTGGCTTCTTGTGCTGTGCTTTGGTCACCCTTGCATTATCTCGCTGCTCCCGTGCCATCAGAGCACCCACACCTGCAGGCTTGGGGCAGGTGGGCTGCTGTTTGTTGTCCTCACTTCCCTCCAAGTGAGATCTCTGACACGCTTTGGATTTCCTCTGCCTGGTTCCTCATGGAAGCTGTGCAGCATTTTTAGATGTCCATCTTCCTGCAGCATTCGGGTCAGTGGTAACAGAGACTGGGAGCTTCTGGGCCTTTGTGCTCAGCTGTGCCAGTACCTTGGTGTGGCTACAGATCAGTCTCTGATGGGGGATGTCCTGATTTGGTAAATCAGTTTTCACAGATCACATAATTAACTGGACAGATTGCAGCTTGGGTGCCCTGCCTGTTGTGCTTTGGACTTGAGCACCCAAAAAGAACAATATCTCTAGTTTTCTAGTAGTTTTTACAGAGTCTTACTTTAAGATTGCTGGTATTGGTGTTAACATCTCTTCTCTCTTAACAGTCCAGCCTAAGAGTAAGAAGACCTTAGCCAAAAGTGGTGTAAAGAATATTGTGGTGGTGGAGGGTGTTCGTATCCCATTTTTGCAGTCTGGCACCTTGTAAGTATGAAATAAGAAGAAAATATCTGCTGAGTAGGTTAACAGTAGAATCTCTCAGTGAAAACAAGTTGGCTTCCTTGTTCATTTTCATGTAGTTTACCGAAAAGTACTGAAATGGCAATAGGTCAGGCTTATTCCAGCTTACCTAGTGAAACAACTGGTTTGAAGAGGATTGTCCATGTATGTAAACTCTTAGGAGAATGAGGATTTATGCTGTGTGTCTGCTGGGGAATCTTCACAACCTGGAGTGTGAAATGTTTGGTTGTGAATGCAGTGGAGCATTTCTGATATGTCAGCTTTGCTGAGGATGGGCTCTTTCAGGGGTGAAATAAACATCTGAAGCTCTTTGTGATACTGCTAAGGTTCTGTCTCTCCTCTTTAACTTCCAGGTACGCGGATCTTATGCCACATGACTTGGCAAGAGGAGCACTGCAGTAAGTACATTGAATATGAGAAGGTCCCGAAAAACTGCTGAACTTGAACTGCTGGGGTACCAGTATGGTGGTCTCAAGAGATTTGAAAGGCTCAAGCTTTATCTAGAGGGGATCTGGAGCACAAGTGTGATGACAGTTGGCTGAGGGAAATGGGGATGTTCAGCCTGGAGAGAAGGAGGCTGAGGAGAGACCTTCTCACTCTTTACAACCCTCCAAAAGGAGGTTGGAGCCAGGGGGTGTCAGTCTCTTCTCCCAGGGAACAAGCGTTGGGACAAGAGAAAACAGCCTCAAGTTGTGCCAGGGGAGGTTTATATTGGATATTCGGAACAATTTCTTCCTGGAAAGGGTTGTCAGGCCCTTGCCCAGGCTGCCCATCCCTGGAGGGTTAGCAGTGGGTTGTGGTGAGAAGCAGGAGAGTTTGCTGTGGAGAGGAGTAAAGGCTTTACTTGGGGTGGGGGGACAAGATTTCAAGGCCCACGGAGAGGTCATGAGGTTGGGTGCAGTTGCGCCCAATCTGAGTGCTGTGGTTGAGGCTGATGTGGTTGATGGGCAGCATGTCAGTTGTGCCTGAGGGATGTGTCCTGGCTGTTAAGGGGTTTCATTGTGCTGCAGAAGAGAAGTCATCCATTAAGATGCCTTTAGTTTCATTTTAATTTGGTGATTTGTAGTGCATGGAATTACATTTCAGCCCCAGTGGCCTTGATTGCTGCTTGCAAGGGGATTTGCTGTGTTGGCTTGTTGGTTAAGATGTTCTAGCAAATTATGTAATATATTTTTCTAATGAGCTGTCAAAGGCACTGCTCATTTTCTGTGTGTCTTTATTGACATTTCACATGTTCCTACACCACAGGTGATTTGCTTTGTTACCTCTTAAGACCTTTTCCCTTTAATTTCTCTATGAGAATACTCCAAATGGGGAAGGTACTAACGGCCACTTCTGAGTGTGGGGGCCACTTCTGAGTGGTCTTCATTAACTTATGTATATATAAATAGTGATATTATTGCCATGATTATTTGCAATCTGTCATTGATCACACTTTTCCTTAAGTACAGACACACACAAGATTTCCTCTGAACTAGGGGCAGAAGATTTGGCTCCGTTGTTACCTTGTTCTCCAGCCAAGCTGGTGGAAAGAGGATGTTTGAGGACTTTGACAAAGCTGTTGCTAAAATGATGCAAATTTTCTATGTTTTGGTCTTCTCCTTAGGGGCTTGCTGAACTGGACCAGTGTCCCAAGGGATGTTGTTGATTACATTGTTTATGGCACTGTTATCCAGGAGGTGAAAACAAGTAATGTTGCCAGAGAGGTGGGTTATGTGCAGCATTTCCCCTGTGAGTCTGATTTCTGCAGCTAGTATGAAGATGATAAACCCTTAAATTTATTTTTTTTTCCATTTTTATGGTTCCTTTAACCGTGGTTTGGGAGTATGAATGAATTGTGTTTATCAAATCACTGTACAGGAAACTGTGCCTCTGTTGAAATTTGGTGTAGATCTAGTGCATTTGGATGATGTTAAGCCTTTGCTTGGTTCTTCCCTGAAGGAGAAACTTTTGTAACTGTTGCTGGTCAATCTTAACAACCAGTTGGACTCAAATGCTGGTTTGTCCAAAGGACTTGGGAGGGCCAGAGCACACTCTGTTAAGTTGCTTTCCTGCGGTATTTATTTATTTGAGTTGGCTGATCAGATGCAGCTTTTGAACAATTCGGAGTAGCTTAGCTGCCCTTTTTTTCTGCTGGGCAGGAAACACAATTTACCTATTATATGCAGGAAGAAGCTGGTCCCCCAAAGTAGTGTTCCAGAGTCATGTGATTTTCTGTAATCTGGAGCCTCTGCTGTTTTTCTCCACAGTGGGGCAAAACTGTTGATGTAACCTGGGCTGGAAAGACTTGGGAGGATCCAAGGCTCTCCTCTTCTGTTGGCATTTTTAACCTTGTGTATGCAAATACTTGCTTTGGTCACCTGCCAGTCAGATGAGGCTGCAGTGTAATTTTAACTCAGGAACAAGTGTTGAACTTTAAACTAGTTGGCCAGGTCTCAAGTCTTTGCTGTGAGCAGTTCTCCCAGAGTGGGAGGCTGGGTCAGATGAGACATTGCTTTCTGATTTGCAGGGCATGTTTTCTGTATCAAGTCACGCTGCCGTGTACCCAGGGGTCTAAATAATTCCTCTCACAAGATGCTTTTAGAAATATGGTGAAGCAAAGATATTGTCACATACTTGAAAGCTCTTTTAGAATTGTGAGGTTTGTGATTAGTTCATCTCTTTATGAACAGGGAGCAGTGACTGCATAACACAACTGAGAGCCTTGGCAGCTGCTGTTTCCTTTTTCCAGAGTCTGAGGGAGGGAGGAAAACTGAATGAAAACTCAGTGTACTTGTTTTCAGCTTAGTCTGCAAATGTGTGTTGCTGGGCGGAAGGGAGCTCTGCCCCTGTGTGGGTTTTAACAGCTGTTCTGTGTTGCTCACAGGCTGCCTTGGGAGCTGGTTTCTCTGACAAAACTCCAGCCCACACAGTCACCATGGCTTGCATTTCTTCAAACCAGGCAATGACCACAGGTATGTTGGCTAGAAGAACAAGCTGTGGGGTTGAGGCTGAGCTTAGCAACTCCTCTGCACCCCTTGTCTAACTTGTTAGTGAGTATGAGTAAGCATCTGAAGGAATTCTAGAATGGAAGGAAGGTTTTTAAGCCAACAAAATATAATGTGAGTAGAGTGTCTGCTGTAGACCTGCCAGCAGCTGGACACCCTTTACATTCCGTGGTAATCTCCACTCGGCGTCCATGTTAGCTTGGGGGGTGAAGACTACAGGAGGATAAGGAATTTGCTGCCTGTCAGGCTGCTTTTGTCTTTGATTTGGCCTAAACAGAGCCAAAAAGAAAAGGACACCCAGTTACTGTCCTGAAGCACTGGGGATATTCTTCTCCCAACTGCTGTGTGACAAAGAAAAGTGCAAGCTAAGTTACAAAATTAGCATGATTCAGAAAAATCTCTGTTCACCCTGCTCAGTCTCTGTTAAGTATGTGTTGTGTAACTTTGGCCAAAGCCAGAAGCTGGAGAAGTACAATGCAATAGTATCCAAGGCACTAATGGGGTAGAATCATAGAATTAATCATCAAATCCCAGACTTGTTTGTGTTTGAAGGGACCTTAAACATCATCTAGTTCCGAGTCCCTGCCATGGGCAGGGACACCTCCCTAGGGACTAGACCAGCTTGCTACAAGCCCCATCCAGCCTGACCTTCAACACTGCCAAGGCAGCCACAGCTTCTCTGGGCAACATGGGCCAGTGTCTCACCACCCTCACAGCAAAGAATTTCTTCCTAAGATCTCAAATCTCCCCTCTTGCAGCTTGAAACTGTTTCCCCTCATCCCATCACTCCTTGCCCTTGTCAAAAGTCCTTCCCCAGCTTTCCTTTAGCCCCTGGTAGGTGCTCTGAGGTCTCCCCAGAGCCTTCTCTTCTCCAGGCTGAACAACCCCATGTCTCTCAGCCTGTCTCCAGAGCAGAGGTGCTGCTCTGGAAGCGTCACTTCTCATAGAATCATAGAATCCTAGGAGTTGGAAGGGACCTCAAAAGATCATCTAGTCCAACCCCCCTGCCAGAGCAGGGTCACCTAGAGTACATCACACAGGAACGCATTCAGGGTTTTTGCTTGCCTCTCCAAGGTTGGACCTCCCTCCATTCCTTCTTGTCTCTTAAGTCCTCTCCTTCTGTCTGGTGACAGGAGGGGAGGGGATCCATCACTTTCTCAACCTCTTCCATCTGCCCCTGCCTCAGGGTACGACTCCACCAATCTATTTCACTCTCACATTCTCTGATGGTTCTTAGTCTTTCAACCTCCTCTGTCAGTTTAACCACCTGCCTGAGGAGATCATTTACTTGCTCGCACCACACACATGCAGCGTCACTGGCTCCCTCCAGTACCAGTGCCAGGCTCAGGCATTCCCTGCAGCCAGAGACCCCACAGTTCTGATGGAGACTGTCTGTTCTGCAGGCGTGGGGATGATTGCGGCTGGACAGTGCGATGTCGTCGTAGCAGGGGGCGTGGAGTTCATGTCAGATGTTCCCATTCGTCACAGCAGGAAGATGAGGAAGACTATGCTGACTCTTAACCGAGCAAAGACCTTGGGCCAAAAGCTCTCCCTGATTTCCAGAATTCGCCCTGACTACTTTGCTCCTGAGGTAATTTTTTTTCAGTGTCAAACAAGTTCCCTTAGGAAACTACTTCAGCCGCAGTGGAGTGGATTTGAAAAGGCAGAGCTGCCTGCCTGCAGGCTGCTTCTCTTGAATCCGTCTGTTCTCTCAGTTACAACTGCAGTTGATTAACACATCTCAGCATTCATAACTCTCTGCTTTGTTTTGTGACATGTTGCTCTTTGGTAAACCTAACTTATTTCAAAACGTCCCTTTCTTTTTGCAACTCCAAGACAAACTGTGTTGGAGGCTACAAAGTAAAATCTTTTTTTCATTAATATAAAAGTTCTGTAGGGCTCCTAAAGGGTAAGGATAGTTTTTATTTCTTAAATAATAAAAGTAACACAGAATCACAGAATCGTTTTGGTTGGAAATGACCTTTAGGATCATCAAGTCCAACCGTCACCCCAGCACTGTCAAGGCCACTACTAAACCACGTCCCTCAGCACCACAGCTACACGGCTTTGAAATCCCTCCAGGGATGGGGACTCCACCACTGCCCTGGGTAGCCTGGGCCAGGGCCTGACAACCCTTTCCAGGAAGAAGTTGTTCCCATCCTATCTAAACCTCCCCTGGCACAATTTGAGGCTGTTTCCTCTTGTCCTGTTGCTTGTTCTCTGGGAGGAGGGACCAACCCCCTTGACTCTAACCTCCTTCCAGGCTTAATATCAGAGAAGCATCCTCAGTTTATTAATGTAATTGTTGATTAATGCATCTTAAATATGTCTTATGATTACTTTTCTCGGCCAAATACTGCCAAGTGCTGAACGTGTTCAGCTCCCATGTTTGGGCCCCAATGTCAACTGACAGTGTGCTGTAGAGGGAGCCACTCTTCGGTCTGGGAGGTCTTGAGAGGGTGAATTATAGCATGGTGGAGACAGGAAGGAAGTACACTTCCCTCCTGACGACAACTGAGCTCTTCAGAAGGGACCTCTGTGTGTCCCTGACACTGCTGCCTGCCCTGGGTGTGAGTGCATCGCAGCCGAGTGTACGTACAGCAGGCATGAGATCCACAGGCAAAATAAGGCGGGAAAATGGCAGACTTAAATGCATGCAGGATTTTCCTGTGTGAAAGAATAAAGCTAAGCTGAAATCACCTGCTGCCTCTGTTTGCTTGAGATCATGTTGGACAGGGAGTTTTAGAGTCCCAGGACGTGTTATTTCACCTCAGCCCCAAAAGTTGAGTTACTTGTTGAATGCACAAGGCAGTTGTCCTTGCAAATGCAGTTCTTGAACCCCTGGAGTAAGCAGCAGTCTGGACCTCATTTTGATATCTTTTTTTCTAAAATCTTTGAAAGTGATTGTTCCTCTAATGTGTTTGACCAAGTCACTTCTGGTCTGGTGACCATGTGTTAATTGCATAGCTCTGATACTAACTCCTCTGCTTAATTAATGGAAGCGGCTCACTGACTGACCATGCAGGGTTTAGCCATCTGCTGAACTTTATGGAACTACCAAGGGAAAGGTTCTTATGTGTGCTGTTTGTTTTTTTTTTCTGGTTTCTAGCTGCCAGCTGTGGCAGAATTCTCCACCAGTGAGACCATGGGGCACTCGGCCGATCGTTTGGCCGCTGCCTTCGGCATTTCCCGTTTGGAACAGGATGAATATGCCCTCCGTTCACACACCCTGGCTAAGAAAGCCCAGGATGCAGGTTGGCTCCTTGACGTGGTGCCCTTCAAAGTGCCAGGTAAAAGTGTACATGTTTTCTTGCTAGCATGTGCTACCTGAATAAGGAAATATTTTATGTAGAAAAGAAGGGGTCAGATTGATCATGTTCTGTGTGTCTGATACGAGCTTCAACATCATCTTCTTCCTGGAAAACTACTGACATAGGAGCATGTTTCTAAACATGGATATCTAAATATATAAATCTAGATTTTGTCATACCCACTTCATATTCATGCTGATGTGGTGACAGAGCAAGGAAAATCAGAATGGTTAGACCAAGAATCACTCTGCTCTCAGTCAGGCAAGAGAACCCATCTTTATACCCCAAGCTCTTAAAAACAGACAAAAAGCCTCTTTAAATCCTGGCCTGATAAAACTGGTCCTGGATAGGAAGAGTGGAAATGTGTTCTGCTGGATTGACTCCACCTCACCAGGCCTCACAAACCTTGCTCGCATATGAAACGATTTGGGGAGAAACTTAAAGCTTTCCATGGCTTGATGTCCACCCCCATCCCCCATGAGCCCCATGGGCATGCTTTGGTGTAGTACCTATGAATTTTGGGCACTTTACTCTGTAGTTAGTCTCCAAGAGATGCCTAAACTTTTATAGTTCCATGGTTACATGTGGTATTTATACTAAAATTAGTGCTTTTTGTTAACTGGCTTATTTAAGGAATTACTGTAGTTGAAGGTAAGTATATTTGGTTCTTCCCAGTGCTCTTGGCATAGAACTTGGCATGTATACTGATTAGGTCCACTTCTCCAATTTAGGTTTTGTAATTCTAATTGAGATTCTTTTATCAACTGGGTTTTCCACGTGGTAGTTTTTCCTTACAGTAAATAGATTGCAGTGCTTCATTTTGGCAAAGCAATGTAGCTTCAATTTTAGGTACTGTTTTTAGCCATGGGAAATACTCTGATACCACAAAAAATTTTTTCCCTTTTTTCATCCTTGCACTTGTCATAAAAAGCAGTTTCCTGATTATTATTTTTTTTTTCTGCTGAACTCCTGATGTGCCAATTCATATATGTTGCTGACTTTCCTGGTTTAAATATGTTTTTTTCATCACCAGGCAAAGATACAGTTACCAAAGATAACGGGATCCGTCCTTCCTCAATCGAGCAGATGGGCAAACTGAAGCCAGCTTTTGTGAAGCCCTATGGAACTGTCACAGCTGCCAACTCCTCCTTCCTGGTAATTCCTCTTCACATCCTTGTGAGCAAGAGGGGAAAACTCTGGTTTACCCTCTGCCTGCCATAGGCACACAGGTCTAGCTGGTACAGTCTGTGGGAATGAGTTGCCTCTTTTGTAGTATCACCTGCTTCTGCTTTCGGATTTTTCAAACTTGGAACTGTATTATGATCTGCTGAATTTGGGATTGTTTAATTTTAAAATCAAGAGTCAAAGAATCAGAGTGGTTGGGGTTGGAGGGGACCTCTGAAGATCATCTAGTCCAATCCCCCTGCTAGAGCAGGATCACCTACAGTACATCACACAGGATGGTGTCCAAGATGGGCTTGGAATGTCTTCAGAGAAGGAGACTCCACAGCCTCTCCGGGCAGCCTGTCCCAGGGCTCTGTTACCCTCATAGTAAATAAGTTTTTCCTTATGTTTAACTTGAACCTCCTGAGCTCCAGTTTGTACCCATTGTCCCTTGTCCTGTCATTGGACACTGCAGGAAAGAGTCTGGTCCCATCCTCCTGACACTTGCCCTGTAGATACGTATAAGCATTGATGCGATCCCCCTCAGTCTTCTCTTCTCCAGGCTGAAAAGTCTCACCTTTCTCAGCCTTTCCTCAAAGGGCAGATGCTTCTTTCCTCTAACCATTTTTATGGCCCTGTGCTGGACTCTCTCTAGTGGTTCCTAATTCTTTATTAACTGGGGAGACCTAGAACTGGACAAAGTTCTCCAGATGGGGCCTCACCAGGGAAGAGTAGAGGGAGAGGATGACCTCCCTCGACCTGCTGGACACATGATTCTCAGTGCGCCCCACGATGCCATTGGCCCTCTTGGCCACCAGAGCACAGTTTTTGCTCATGGTCAGCCTCTTGTCCACCAGGAACCCAAGGTCCTTTTCCCCAGAACTGCTTTCCATTAGGTCATCCCGAGGCTAGGAAACTTAACAGAAGTGTCTTACCCAAGTTGATGATTCCCTGTTAAAAAATAAAAGTAACTATGAATAGCCACAACCAATGGCAACAGACACATGACTACTTGGCTGAGCACAAGCTCTTTATAATTTTGACACCACCTTCATCGTTTCGCTTTAGCAACTAGAACTTCACCATCAATTTTCTTTGTAAGAAATACCTAGTTTTAAAAAGATTCTAATCTCTAAGAAAATAAGACAAATATTTGTATTAAATCATAGAATCACTTAGGTTGGAAAAGACCTTTAAGATCATAGAGTCCAGCCATTAACTCAGCTCTACTCAGTCCAGCCCTAAGCCATATTCCCAAGCACTACATCTAGACAACTTCTAAACACATCCAGGGATGGTGACTCAGCCACCTCCCTGAGCAGCATGTGTCAATGCCTGACCGCCCTTTCAGTGAGAAGGTTCTTCCTAAAAGCTGGAGATCATTCATTTCGTAAGTTACAGCTCTTTTCTAGTGTAAACCTTTTGGTCTGTCTTACCTGTTTGCTCTTCTGTAGCTGTCTCCTGAGGGTTGAGCATTCAAAGGCATGTAAAGAAATTCTGTCCCAGGATGGGATTGATCACATTTTAAGTACCGAAGTCCATTGTTTTAGTCTAACTGTGTCACTTACTGTGTCACTTACTGCTTACCCTGTAATCCCCAGAGGGGAAGGAGAGATTTCTCTAGCCCATCTACAATGAGCTCTCCTCTGCATATGCTATTTTCTCTAGCACTTTTAAAGGAAGCTTTTTAAGATGCTGAGGTGTAAGGTTGTGTGTTTTTCATCAGTACTTTAAGGAAGCAAGTAACTACTGCTGGGTCTTCTTCAGTAGCAATGCCATTTCTTCCTTAGCATTCTTTGGGACTTCCAAAGCCTGGTAATGCCACACCCTTGGCAGGGAGAGTTGGCCAGGGAGAGTTGGATTGGGACTCTGTAGAGTTATGTTAATGGTTGGACTTGATGATCTTAAAGGACTTTTCCAACCAGAATGAGTCTATGAAGGGCTTCAGCAGTGTGGGGGCTAACATTGTTTGGAGATCATCCATCTGTCCTGCAGACTTGTTCTTTGTCCTGTATCATCAGGCGTGTCCTGGTTAGATCCACATCCTCTCCTGCTGGCTGCTGTTCAGGAGGGCTGTCAAGCTCATGTTGTGCTGTGCTGTCCTTCCTCTTTGGACTGTGACCTGAGGGGCTTTTTCTGTCTTTTTCAGACAGATGGTGCCTCTGCAGTTCTGCTTATGTCTGAGGAGAAGGCTCTGGCGATGGGATACAAACCAAAGGCCTACCTGAGGTAAAAAAGGGGGCTCTGAAGCCTGCTCTCTCTTCCTTTTCCTCTTTTTGTTACTAATAGCATTTCTCCTGTGCAGGGACTTCGTGTATGTGTCCCAGGATCCAAAGGACCAGCTGCTGCTGGGGTAGGTGGCGAGGATCAAGATCCACACTGGCACAACAGCCTTGACCTACGATTACGTGTTTGGTTTTTTGGGGAGGTACCTCATGAACTATGACATCTCCTCAGGCTTCCTGGCAAAGGGGCAACAGCTGGTGTGTGAGGTGTAACCCAGGAGGGGGGAGGTGGCTGATGCGGGAGAGCAGCTACAGCAGAAATACTCACCCCAGGTTGCTGGGGGCCATCTCATTGTGTTGGTACTTGCAGTGGTGACATGGGGTTGTGTTTCAGTTGGAGTGGGACAGGCAGGGAGCTGTACCTAGAGAGGAGGAATGTTAACATGAGTCACTGGGGGGAAAAGGGGAATGATGATGAGAGGAAACAAATTAATGCAAGACTTCCCTTTCTGAACTCTTCATCAGACCAACGTACGCTACTCCCAAAGTGCTGGAGAAGGCTGGTCTAACCATGGCTGACATCGACGTCTTTGAATTCCATGAAGCTTTTGCTGTAAGTACTCTGAAACCCCAGGGTGCCTCTAGTTGTAAAATGCTATTCTGTAGATGTCTGTTTTTATGTTGTTGAAAGCTCTTGTGAAGACCTTCACTAAATGTGGGCAAGTGTAATTCTACATTTGTGTCTGTAGGTGAGTACTGCAGGGATTTTAAATATTTAACATTTTTATATTGACACGGTCCATGCTGATGGTGGCTCACGTTGCTTGAAGCCGCCAAGGGAATACAGATTCTTCTAAAATAATACAAAAAGAAAATAATTTGACTTTCCCAAGACTCTCACATGGAAGGATCTGTTTCTGCATGTCATCTACTAATTGGGTTGGGGAGATATGTTACTGAAGTGAGGTGGCCTGTGAATTGGGCAGCGTCTCTTTCTGTCTAAGGTTGTCCTAATGTTGATGAGCAGGGCTAGTCCTGTACAATACTGTTTTCCCCTTGGCTGTGTCAGTTTTGTGGCTGGAGCTGGTCTCCAGATCTCTCCTGTTTGCCAGCACTGTGTGTTGGTGCTCCTTGAAGTCTGCTCTTCTTGTTAACACTGCCCTCCCCTCCCTTGCAGGGGCAGATACTGGCTAACCTGAAGGCCATGGATTCTGACTGGTTTGCACAAAACTATATGGGCAGAAAGTCAAAGGTGAGGACACAGGATGTTTTTCTCTTCAGTTAAACTTCAGGATTGATTGCAGCAGATGACAACAGTGCTGCAAAGCAGGGTTTTTGTGTTCTGTGAGGTGAAGCCACATTTCTTCAACTCTGTATTAGCAAATCCCAATGTGAGTGTAGAATCATGGAATCATTTAAATTGAAAAAGACCTTTCAGATCACTGAGTCCAACTGTTACCCCAGCACTGCCAAGGCCATGACTAAACCATGTCCCTTGGCACCACAGCTACATGGCTTTTAGATCCCTCCAGTGACAGGGACTCCACCACTGCCCTGAGCAGCCTTGGCCAGGGCCTGACAACCCCTTCCATGAAGAAATTGTTGCTGATATCCAATCTAAACCTACCCTGGCCGCAACTTGAGGCTATTTCCTCACTGTCTTGTGAGCAGTTTATTTGGGAACAATGATGTTCCTGTTGTCAGTAGGAGATCTGGAGCAATAATAATAGTTGAAGAAGAGGAAGTTCAGGCCAATGGGAGAGGGTCAGTTCCTCTGCACACTTCCCTGCAGCACAGGTATGCCTGTCTGGCTGCAAGGGAGCAGTAAAACCTCTACCACAGTTTTATGCTGACATTGGGTGCTCATACATGCCAAAAAACACTTTCTGTGGCCAGCCTGGATCAGTGTGTAGGCTTAGTGTTCTTCTGAGTAGGTCAAGCAATCTCGTTCCAGCCAGGTAACTGTGTGTTCTCATAGGTTGGAGCCCCTCCTCTGGAGAAGTTCAATAACTGGGGCGGGTCCCTCTCGCTGGGACATCCTTTCGGTGCCACCGGTTGCCGTCTGGTCATCACTGCTGCCCACAGACTGCAGAAGGAGGGAGGACAGTATGGCCTGGTGGCTGCCTGTGCTGCAGGAGGGCAGGTAATGCTGCTGTGGGGTCTGATGCTGTGCCCTCTGGAGAGGGCAGGGATTAGATTTCTGCTCCTTTTGGTACTGTGAAATCCTGTGCAGGTTTAAGGGCACCTCTGAGTCCCCTGGCAGTGACATCCATCCATCTCAGCTGGTTGTCCCCTTGTCACAGCTCAGGCCAGTGAGCTCAGTTCACTCTCCAGCCCATCTCAGAACCATCCCTGAGCGATGGTGACTGCAGCCCATTACTGCCCACGTGGTACAAGAGAAGGAGAGATTTCTGCCATGTTCTGAGGGTTTCATTTGGTGACTCTCAAAAGACTTCCCAGATTCTGGTTTGTGGTCACCATTCTTCCCATCTTAGGAAGAAAGGTCTTTACAAGAAAAATGGGAGTAAGACTGTATGTTTCCACAGTTCTTGAGGCTGTGGCCAGGAGCCCTGGTTCAGGTTGCCCTGACTGGTGGCAGTTCTGCAGGTGCTATGGCTGGTCCTCTTTAACCTGAAGTAATCAATCTTGACACTGCCCCCTCCCCAGATTCCTTGTTTGCCCCACAGCGAAGCCTGATGTGTTGGTCAGGGTGGACTCCATTGCCTTGGCCAGCCTGAGCACATCTGTACTGTCCTGACACCACCAAACCACTGTCAGCAGAATCCTCGTAATTAATCTGCTCTGGATTTGAATCTCCCCTTTTATAAAAATTATTATTATTTTTAATTATTATGCTTTATTATTTTAATAATTTATTTATGGGGAAGGATTTGTTACAAGGGCGTGTAGTGATAGGACAAGGGGTAATGGTTTCAAAACTGGAAGAGGGGAGATCTGAGGAAGAAATTCTTTTCTGTGAGGGTGGTGAGACACTGGCCCAGGTTGCCCAGAGCAGCTGTGGCTGCCCCATCCCTGGCAGTGTTGAAGGCCAGGTTGGATGGGGCTTGGAGCAAGCTGGTCTGGTGGGAGGTGTCCCTTCCCATGGCAGAGGGATTGGGACTGGAGGATGTTTAACCCAACTCAGTCTGGGATTTGATGATATGGTGATTTAAAGCCATGGGGAGATGGGCAGCTCCTGTTGAATGGTGTCTGTAACAGTGATTCCTTTTGGTGACCGTTGTCTTTCTTCTTTCCAGGGGCACGCAATGATCGTGGAGCTTTACCCTCAGTAACAGGACAAGGGACTGTGGAGCAGCTGTTTGTGTGTCCTGTGCCTGGCAATGCCATTTCAATGCACTAATAACATACAGTCCTTCTTGGGAAGGAGTTTTGGTGGCCTTTGTAAATACCATTTAGCTACTAAGCTGGCAATTTTCATCTAATGAAGACACTGAGAAATATTCCAGGAGAATAAAAGTGAATGTGGCTCTTAGTCTCTCCAGCGTCCTTGTAAACTCTGATTTCCAGTGTAGCTCTTCAATAAGCTGAAGAATGATGATTCCAAAGCTGTGTATGGAGAATTATGGAGATGAGAAGTACTGGAGATTGGTGGGCTGAGATACGAGTTAATGTGTCCTTGTGGGGAGTAACTGTGTTCAGAAATGGGTTCCAAGTGACCTGGTTTTTATGGAGGATGTTTGCTGCACGATGTCCAAAAAGAATTGGAATTAGCAAATTACTTCTGACAAATGAGTGTCACTGATCTATAGCCACAATAAACCAGGAAAAAAAAAAAAAAAGTCTGGCTTTCTTTTTTTCTCTCCCCTTGTGTGAAGGATGTGGAGTTGGTTACTGTGATGTTTGTCGTGGGGACTGTGTGTTCTGAGGTGGCACCAGGCACTTGCTGTCTGAAATGGAAAACACTGCTCTGAAAGATGTCCTGAATCCACCTGGAGCTCCAGAGCCCCAAGGAATCACCAAAATAAATGCTTTTGAGACCTTTTTTGGTAACTCCTGCCTCTCTGAGGCTCCCTAATGGACTTGGCAGTGTGAGGTTTACAGTTGGACTCAATGATCTTAAGGTCTTTTCCAACCTAAATGGTTTGAATTACACACTGAATTTTGAAATTTCAAAATGGAGGCAGAGTATTAATCAGAATCAAGTTGTTGATAAACTTCCAAGTGTGCAGACTTGTATCTTTCTCCCAAGGTTTTAGGAATAGTTGTTTTTGCCCTTTCAGTTAACATTCTGGGTTATTTTCCTCTGGAGTGGCTAGTGTTTCTTGCCCAGGAGCAGAGATTCTTCTAAATCACCTGCAAAAACCTTCTGAGTCCTTTGTATGAAAGAAAAAGCTGCTGCAACCCACCAGCTGCTGCACAGCCCAGTGTGTCAGCCAGAAGGCACCTGAGATAAGGGCCAGGTGTGACAGCTAGTGGCTCCTGCTGGAGTAAACAGGTTGGAAAAGTTGTGCAAGTCTGCTGGGAATGGGGCACCAGGAGGTGGCTGCGAGTGGGAACTGCCTGGGTGGGGGGAATGGGGCCTGTTGGGTTTTGGGTGTGAACGCCCCTTGAATTTCCTGCTCAAACATGCATGGGAATGTGCTGTGTCTCCTGCTTCCCAGCTGATGGAAGTCCTGGAGAGCTCAGCCAAATTTTAAGCGGCACTGCTGCAATTCCTGTTGTTCCTGCATGTGTGAGAGCCTGTTCCCATGGCCGTGTTAGTGCTGTGACTTTGCGTGATCCTGCTCTGCAGAATGCGGAGAGGTAAACAGTCCTTAAAAGTTACCAATCATGTCCTGGGCTGCATGCCCAGCAGCATAACCAGCAGGGCAAGGAAAGGGGATTGCTCCTCTCTGCTACACTCTGGTAAGACCCCCCTGCAGTGCTGGGTCCAGTGCTGGGGTTCCTAACAGAAGAAGGACATGGAGCTGTTGGAGTGAGTCCAGAAGAAGCCACGGAGATGATTCGAGGGCTGGAGCAGCTCTGCTCTGGAGACAGGCTGAGAGAGTTGGGGTTGTTCAGCCTGGAGAAGAGAAGGCTCTGGGGAGACCTTAGAGCACCTTCCAGGACCTGAAGGGGCTACAGGAAAGCTGAGGAGGGAGTTTTGACAAGGGCAGGGAGTGATGGGATGAGGGTGAATGGTTTCAAGCTGCAAGAGGAGAGATTGAGATGAGATTTTAAAAAGAAATTCTTTTCTGTGAGGGTGGTGAGACACTGGCCCAGGTTGCCCAGAGCAGCTGTGGCTGCCCCATCCCTGGCAGTGTTGAAGGGCAGGTTGGATGGGGCTTGGAGCAACCTGGTCTAGTGGGAGGTGTCCCTGCCCATGGCAGGGGGCTGGGAACTAGATGATGTAAACGTCCCTTCCCTCCCAAACTAGTCTGGGATTCTGTGATCATGTAGCACCCCACAACAACATGTACCCACTCGCTTTGTGCCTGAGGCTGAGCCTTCTCCTTCCTGCGTGGGCATGGACCTGTCTGCAGCACTGGATAGATGTGGGGGGGCTGCTGGGGGGCTGTTGTGGCTGTGCTGGGGGCAAAGCTGAGGCTGGGGCTGGGGCTGGCTGCAGGGAGCAGGAGCTTGGGCACTGCTCAGCACTGCCATGTTTGGGGCTGGGAAGATGATGTTGGTGCTCTGTGAAATCTTTCCACAAGCTGAGGTGGGAGAGTGTTGCTGGTGTCCTGGGGCAGCTCTTGCCCCTTGGACCCTCCGGGTTCCTAACAGAAGAAGGACATGGAGCTGTTGGAGTGAGTCCAGAAGAAGCCACGGAGATGATTCGAGGGCTGGAGCAGCTCTGCTCTGGAGACAGGCTGAGAGAGTTGGGGTTGTTCAGCCTGGAGAAGAGAAGGCTCTGGGGAGACCTTAGAGCACCTTCCAGGACCTGAAGGGGCTACAGGAAAGCTGAGGAGGGAGTTTTGACAAGGGCAGGGAGTGATGGGATGAGGGTGAATGGTTTCAAGCTGCAAGAGGAGAGATTGAGATGAGATTTTAAAAAGAAATTCTTTTCTGTGAGGGTGGTGAGACACTGGCCCAGGTTGCCCAGAGCAGCTGTGGCTGCCCCATCCCTGGCAGTGTTGAAGGGCAGGTTGGATGGGGCTTGGAGCAACCTGGTCTAGTGGGAGGTGTCCCTGCCCATGGCAGGGGGCTGGGAACTAGATGATGTAAACGTCCCTTCCCTCCCAAACTAGTCTGGGATTCTGTGATCATGTAGCACCCCACAACAACATGTACCCACTCGCTTTGTGCCTGAGGCTGAGCCTTCTCCTTCCTGCGTGGGCACGGACCTGTCTGCAGCACTGGATAGATGTGGGGGGGCTGCTGGGGGGCTGTTGTGGCTGTGCTGGGGGCAAAGCTGAGGCTGGGGCTGGGGCTGGCTGCAGGGAGCAGGAGCTTGGGCACTGCTCAGCACTGCCATGTTTGGGGCTGGGAAGATGATGTTGGTGCTCTGTGAAATCTTTCCACAAGCTGAGGTGGGAGAGTGTTGCTGGTGTCCTGGGGCAGCTCTTGCCCCTTGGACCCTCCTGGCCTCCCTGCTCCATGGTGGGTTGTCTGCACCATTCTTTGGGGGGATTTAGTCCCCTTCCAGGGTGTCAGGGGGCAGAGCAGAGCTTTGGGCTGTTGTAGGCGGTGGCTGGGTCACCCCACACTCGGCAGGGCAGGGCTGGAGCCTTTGGGATGTGACTCATCCTTGAGGCTCATTCTGCTCCTCCCGCCTGCTCTTCCCAGGCTTCTGCTGTGTCCTCCGCAGGGACCTTTGTCACCGTCATAGGCGAAGCTGCTCTGGTGGGTCCCATTCCTGGCTGCGTGGGGGTAAACGGGGTGGGGAGATGGTGGGGGTTTTGCTGAGCTTCTTCACTGGCTCCAGGTACAAACAGAGTCCCTGCCTCTGCTCTCCTCCACCCCAGCCTCAGCTCTGGGAATGGCGGGGTGTCCTTGGCAGCTGGGGGAGGAAGCTGGGGCTGCTGGGGCCGTGCCCATGCAGGCAGGGCTGGGGCAAAGGTTTGTTCTTGGACTTGGATAACCTTCAAGGTCTTTTCCAACCTAAGTGATTCCATGATTCTTTGCTTCTCCTGGTCTCTGGCACCAAGCCAGGGTAGAGGTGTGAGGTGGAGGGTGGTGGGGAGGAGGAGGTTAGACTGGGGTGAGGATCTAGGCAGTGCCAGCATCCCCCCCTGCCCCAGGGCTCATGGCCATGGCGGGTAAGGACTGGCCGGGGCTGATCTCACTTCCTGGGTGTGCCGGGCCCAGAGCACCAGCGTGGCAGGACAGGCAGTGGGGCCTCACCATGGCCCCCAGCTTGGTGCCCTGGTGAGCAGCCCCCTTCTGGGAGGTGGTGGTGGGTAGGAACCCCAGGATGGGGGGCTTTGCCATGGCAGGGTGTTATTTGCCATGGGGGGCTGGGCCGGGGGGAAGTGTAGGACTCAAGATCATGATACCCCATTTGTAGGGATCCTGAGCTGTGCCCACGCTGTGCATGGACACCTGGGTGCAGGATGGGGCTGAGGCACTGCCAGAGGGACACTCAACAGCTGAGGTGAGCACGGGCAGGGACTTGGGAACTGGAGACACCCCATAGGTCATTGGGTCTGGGTGCCAGGGGACCTCCATGGGTGTAGGATGAGGGACCCTCATAGGTGGAAGATGGGGATACGGGAGCATCCACCAGCATCTGTGCAGGGATGGGATCGAGGCTCACCTTCAGGCTGGGTAGGGGGGACCATGGCAGAGAGGGTCATCCTACAGCTTCCATGGGACTGGAGGGCCAGGCTGGGGACATCCCAACTCCCTGCTCTCCTCCTGGTGCTGGTGTTGGAGCAGCGGCCGGTGGGGCAGTGGACGGTGGCAGAGGTGGGCGCGTGGCTGGTGGCACGGAGCGGGGCTGGGGAGCTGGC